TATATATATATGCTGACATACTCAGGCATGATAGCTGACACCCATAATCCCAACACTTTAGGAGGCCAAGGTGGGAGGATCGTTTGAGCCCAGGAGATCAAGGCCAGCCTGGGCAACATAGTGAGACCCTGTCTCTAAAAAATAAAAATAAAAAAAATAGCCAGGTGTGATGGCACATGCCTGGTCACAGCTACTTGCAAGGCTGAGGCAGGAGGACTGCTTGAGCCTAGGAGGTGGGGTCGAGGCTACAGTGAGCCATGATCACGCCACTGCACTCCAGCCTGGGTGACAGAGCTAGATCCTGTCTCAAAATAAAAAAACACAACAACAACAACAACAACAAAACCTCAACAAAGACAAAAATATAGTGAGACAAACGTTCATGAACAGAGACACAATTGTTTTGGAAAGTAATGCACCAACAGTTATCATCAAGAGCCCTAAAAACTTCACAACCTTTGAACTAGTAATTCCACTTCATAATGGGTGACAGCCAGGTGGATGGGCAGATGAGTGGACAGACACACCAGGGTGCAGATGGAGAGAAGAATGGATGAGAGACCAGATGTACAGAGGCCGTCATGGGAGCAAGATAGCAGAGCCCATGAAGTAACTGCAGGAATACAGGGCATGAACCCCACCAAACACAGCCACCACCCACAGTCCCCCACACTGGACCTGACCTCTGAGCTCTCTGGGGCCACACTTCCTAGTCCCTCTTCTCAGGGTACTACTGAGGACAACTGCACCATCTGACTCCCCTACCCCTTCCATGGACACTCCCAGGGAGCAGCTTGTGCCTTCCAGCTCTGTGGTCAGGTTACCTTTGTTCCCAGCTCTTGACTTGTGGAGCTGGGAGCCTCTTGGGTTTGAATGTCCATTTCGGCAAGGAGCCTCTGTCCCTGGCCGATCTGTTTGAGCAGGGCCTCATAGTCCTCAATCAGGCCCAGGACGTGGCGGCCGTTCTTGCTGGCCCACAGGCGGTGGCCAGCGACCAGGCGGGACACACACGGAGTGCTAGTTGCCGAGCTGCCACTGTCACAGGAGAGGGAGTCCGTGTCATTCTCAGAGAGTGGAAGAGTCTCTGAAACTGTAAAATGAGAGGTAGGATGTAAAATCTGTTTCAGGTAACACTCTGCGTTCAAGGCGCTTATGATGTTGAAGCTAGCTAGGAGGGCTAGGAGAGGCCCTCGTGCCCAAAGGCCACCCAACACAAGCCCAGTGGGGAAAAGATGCATGGCTCCTGGACCTCTATATATTATCCCACACTGGCTTACGAGTCATCTTGTAGGATAGGCTCAAGTCAACTCAACCAACACTTATCAACCACCCACTCAGCAGAAGACCCCAGATTCACAAGGATAACTCAAGCTGGTGCCTGCATTCCAGTAGCCCACAGTCTGATCAGAACACAGACACTGCGGAAGGTGCAACAGCAGAGTGATGAAGGGCCAGAGCCAGGAAAAACAATTATCTGTGCAGGGAGGGAGAGAACAAGGAAGGCTTCTGAGAAGGAGCAGCATTTGAACTGGACTGAGCAAGAAGCAAGAATTACACTAATGATGAGTCATTCTGACCAGGGACAGCAGCAAAGCCATGTCACAGAAAAATGTGCATTCATGATGAGTCTTGAGGAAATGGGACTTTTACTGGCAAAGAGTGGGACAAAGGGGGTCTAAAAGTCACAGTGAGAGGAAAGTGTGGGCCTGTCTGCAGGATGGTGACCCCTGTGTGGCTATGCCAGGGTAAGGGATAAGGCTGGACGGGCCCACTGGAGCTGGATCCTGGGCGGCCTTGAAAGCCTCACAAAGGTGGTCACAATTTTAATTTAAGGCAACAGGGACCCAATGATGTTCTAAACTTGGTAATACCTAGGAGTAGATTAACTGGCTTGAAGGAGGATATCACCAGCTGGAGATGCTGCGAACTTGAAATCCCAAATCCTTGCCAAATACCCTTCTGAGGTGGGACCAGGGACCCCCTTTTCTGCAATTTAAAAAGTCTTACTGTCACATCCAATGCTGCCACCGTTACCCAGACTTCAGCTTTGTACCTGATTTTGGTGTCACTGCCTGGGAGGAATCAAACAGATCAAATGAATTATCACTTTCCATGGGATCTTTGTCACCATCTACAAAATGCAAAACACGAGAACTGTTAGTTTCACTGCTGTCAGCATTCAAGAGAGACCTGAATGAGAATACAGTCAAGCCCCTCACATTCACTAATTCATACACACACAAGCATTCCTTCAAATCTTCACTAGGCCTCTGTCCTGCCAGGCCCACCTGTGTGGGACACCAGGGAGACAGAGTGACCAGGCCCAATCCATTCCCTAGAAAAACTCTTAGCAGAAAAGTAAACAAGCAATTTTATTTTAGTGTGATTGAAAACACAGGCTGTTGAGGCTCAGGTGAGGGCACTACCCCCAACTTGGCTTCCCAAAGGCTAACACCTGTTTTAAAACCTTATGTGGTTTTTTTTGTTGTTGTTGTTGTTTTTTTGATGGAGTCTTGCTCTGTCACCCAGGCTGGAATGCAGTGGCACAATCTCGGCTCACTGTAAGCTCCGCCTCCCAGGTTCATGCCATTCTCCTGCCTCAGCCTCCCGAGTAGCTGGAACTACAGGCGCCCACCACCAAGCCTGGCTAATTTTTGTATTTTTAGTAGAGACGGGGTTTCACCATTTTAAGACTGACTGTGACTGACCTGTGGTAAGAAGGAGGGAAAGAAATGCCAGGCAGCACATTGGACAGGTGAGAGGCCGACAGTGGGACAAAGAGTAGAATCATCGCTCAGGGAGAAATAAGCAGTTCATAGACCCAAGGCCCAGAGGGCAGGGAAGGACAAAGTAGGATGCAAGGCCAGAACCAAGAGGACTGAGGGGCCCACTCAATGGCTTTGGGCAAGGCAATGTCAAGCTGAGGTCTGTATTTTGTACTGGAGGAGTTTTTTTTCTGTCTAGAGGCTGCCACACTAATCTAAGCCAGAGATGAGAGTAACCCGCAATAGGATCTGGGGGGCGATGTATCTGCAACACTGTAAGGAGGCAAAATCAATAGATGATGTACAGATGACCTGTGCAACACGTAATAATTTGGAAAGCACTTTCACATATGAAAAGCTATTGGACTCAATAGCTCAGTGGGCAGAACACATTGTAATTCAGATTTCATGGAAGGGGAAACCAAGTGGCAGAGATAGAAAGTGATCTGTCCAGCATAACCCAGCATGCCAGTGGCAGAGAGTAAGCAAGCCCAGGGCTTAGGATCCCCCCATCCAAGCTCCAGCACCACTGGGCAGTGGGCTGCTGCACTCCAGCACCACCCAAGGGTCTGCTACAGTTCCTAAGGCCAAGGAGCCAGGAGATCAGCTCCATAGAGCTGGCCCTGAGAGGAATCACTCTCAGCGAAAGACATCAGCCTTTAGAACATAATTTTAAAAACAGATGCACTTAAATACAGACCTGAGAAGTCTTTTGCAAAGGAAGAAATGCTGCTGCCTACAATTCTGATCTTGACTCAAGGAAATTAGAAAACTTTTCTGCTGAGGCAGCACTGTGAATTCTGAATGCTCTCCTGGATGCCTCTTGCCACGCATGCTGAGGGCTGCTTTCGGCAAATTTCAAAGGCAAAGGCTGTTTGATGGCCTCCTTGCTTCAGCTACCCAACTCTCCTTCCTGGGCACCCCAAGCACAGAACTCTTCTCCTTGCTTCAATCTCCCCTAGCCCACCCCCACAAGCTCCTCAAAGCCTTAAAAAGGGCCACGTGCAGACCCATGTTAAAAATATTAATGCCCGATGCTGATGAGGTCACGCAAAAACCACTACCTTTGTACACTTCTGATGGACAGACCATTTAGAAGGTAGAAATATGGCACCTTTCTAAACTTCTGAGATTCCCCTGGTCGGGTTTTCTCCTAAGAATATTGTTTAACAGCAAAAAGTATATTAACATTGATGTCTATTATGGCTCTAAATCAAAGACCACTTTAATAATCAATGGGGTCATGGACTGGTGACTAAGAATAGCCTGCAAACAATCATTAGGAAGCCCATGTGAAAGCAGAGGGAACATGTATGATGCAATATTGGACAAAAACAAAGAAAGGACACAGAATGACACAAAAACCAATTTGAAAAATATAAATTCATGCCGATATTTAATAAATGAAAAGAAATATGCAAATTTCAAAAAATGATCAATGTGTAGAATCATCAACTTTTTTTCTCTGTTCACTTTTTTCATATTATTACATCATCTTTTTGGTTAAATTTTAAGATCCTTGTCAATGAGAAATCAATGAACTAATCACTACAAGTTCTAAGGCAGACTGACTAGGTACTCCTTAAGAGATTTATTTTTATTTTTTTAACTAGAGGTATCCAAGTAAAAGTAAGTGCAAACTTTAGTACAATACTTGCTTTTAAAGCATGCTGGCATTCCTCATCCCACTGGATACACACATTTACCCCACGGGTGTCAGGACGATAATCCCAGGATACCCAAGGCTCCAGAGGGTCCAGCGGGTTTAGGAACAGCCCTAGAGTCAAAGCTGGAAATGGTTTCTAGTTCCAGCTCTGCTGCCTAATTGCTATGCCACTTTGGGCAAGCCCCATCCACTCTCTGGGCCTTTGTTTTTCATCTCTAGAGCAAAGAGGACAGGCTGCCTGACTGATTGGAGTCTAACCATTTACTGGTTTACTCCACACCCTGTGGTGGGCAGGTGGCAGAGGTGTCTGCTCCTCTTTCTGGTACCCCCCCACAGCCTCTCTCCAGGGCTAGGCAATTAACCTGCAAGCAAATGCAAAACAGATCCACTTTTTAAACCTATCAGGATGATTTTCAGATCCTGAAAGACACTGAAAGCCAGATTAAGATGTTTAGGTTCCCTTCTAAAGGCAGTAAGAGAAACTAAAAGAAATTTCAGCATGGAAGTGATGCAGGCAGGACTAAATGGATAGGAGGGAGCAAGGCCAGAGGCATTGAGGGTGTCTGGAAGTCCAAATTCCACTTCCCTGAGAATCAAGATGCCTCAGATGGAGATTACGCCACTTTGCCAAAGGTGACGTCTAATTAATTAGCAGTCAGGTCCCCTGGCTCCCAGGGTACAGCGTGTCAGCTATCAACGGAAAGACACCTGTGTGGGGCAAAGGCATCATTCAGAAGTTCACACGTCACACACAGATGCTCAGAGCTGCATTCTCAGCAAGTGGGGAGAGGCAGGGGCAGTACCGTGTTTGTCAGGCTGAAGGGGCACCTCAGGGATGGACAGGGCTTGGATGGCCAGAGTGAGGGCTCCTTCCTGTGCTTTCTCTGCCCCCCTTGCCAGCTGTTCCTCGAGGCTGCTCTGCAGAGTGCTGCTGGTTTCAATGCTCCTTTCCAGTTGCAACCGCAGAGCCTGGATCTCCATCAGGAGGCTGCGCAGGTCCCTGAAAGGATCCTGCCCCTTCCAGCCTTCTCCCGAGGCCTCTGCAGACATGTGCAAAGAGAAGCCCTGACATCTTCTACAACCAAAGGGTCAGCCATTGAAGGAACTCAATCGCGTTTTACACCCGCCACCACCATCGCCCTCCCTCTTCCTAAGAACTAGGTACAGTTTAAAATAACAACTTGACTTTAGAAACAAAAATATTGGCAGACTTAATTGCTGCTATTCCACAGGCTAAATAAGAGCTGGAAATTAATTTTCGCTTCTGGCCATAAAAGCCTAGCAAATTGCATACCAAACCCCGAAATTATGTCTAGTAGTAATAAAATCTATTTGGGCTAGAATTATAGAATGAAAGGGGATGATTTTAAGAGCCACAGTATATTAAAAAGACACAACAGCAAGAATAAGAAAAGCAAGTTGAGAAGAAAATAAAAGCTGTGAGATGACCCCTTTCTAGATCAACTTTCAATAGAGAGAAACCATCTGGAAAATTAGTTTAAAAAAAAAAAAAAACAAAACACCTCACCACACCTCAAAATTGATTCTGAAACATTAGACCTTATAGTTGAAGCACTCTGAGCTGGTATCTCTCTTGGGATACAGAGAGCACTGAGGCCAACAACCATCCCCAGAGCAATGCCCAGCACATGAGAGGTGTCCATAAATGTTTGCTGAATTAATGGGCAAAAAGTAACACACACTAGCAGGACGATAATAAAAGTCATTTCCCGAGTGCCTACTATGTGTCAGGTATCATGCTAGGATGCTTTTAATAAATGGTCTCATTCAATTTTCAACACAATTCTCCACACAACAGGTGCTGAGAGACACGTTTTACAGAGGCATGTATGGGCTCAAAGGGTGAAGTGGCCTGCTGAGGGTCAAATAGCTGGGAACAAGGGAGTGGGAACCCGGACCGTGGCTGGCCTGGGTGCTGAGCCTCAGTCCTTCTATGTTTCCTGCTGTTCCTTCAAAAGAAGAGTGGGTCAAAGCGCTAGCTTCAACACCCATCCATTCTACCCACGAGGCCAGAGAGGAGAGGGCTGAGCTCTACCCTCCTGCGCCTACAGCCGGCGGTCGGGTGGGCTTACAGCCCAAAGCACAGTAGCCTCAAGGTGAGAAGGGCCTCGGACCAGAGCCCCCCCGGTACCTCTCAGTCTCCTGTGCTCTTCATCCAGCTTCTCATACGCCTTCAGCTCCACTCGGAGGGACTGCAATAGCTTGTCATTCTGTGAGAGCAGCTGCTGCCTCAACTTCACCTCCTCTTGCACCCTAAGAAGGCCCCACAGGCATGAGAAGCACAGGTTAATTCTACCATAGGATAACTTATTCGAACCCCACAGAGCAGGCCAATTCTACCCTCAGTCACAAGAGTGTGGACCAAGAAGTGACAAGCCTGGTTAAGAATTCCAGTCACAGCTGCAATTTCCAAGCGCTCCCCGTGTCCAGCCCCGCACATACGTGATCTCATGTAATCTTCACAGATGCCCTAAACGGTCGGTGCTCTCTAACCCTCAGTTCAGAGATATGAGGAAACGAAACTCAAAAGGGCTGTTTCCTACCCAGGCATGCACAGCTCGGGAGGGGAGCCAGACTTAGACCCAGGACTACTTGGCGGCAAAGACGAAGATCTTGCTACCTCACTGCACCACCCTTGGTGATGACGGTAACTAAAAGAGTGGGGCATTCACGCGTGCCGACAGGAACAACTGATATGTGGAACCAGACAGACTCAAAGAGGGAAATGGCAAAAGGACCATTGGTGGGATCCTTTTAAAATCGACGGCAGAGCCATGTCACTCCTCTGCTCAGAATCTCCCAGTGGCTTCCCATGCCACTCAGAGTAAACCCAAAGTCCTCACACTGACTCTAAAGCCCGATGTGATTTGGCATCCTGCCAGCCCCCCCTCCGGACACACTGCCCTGCTCTGCCAGGCACAGGCCTAAGCCACTCTGCCTCAGGGCCTGCGCCTGTTATGCCTGAAATGATCTTTCCCAGGCAGCTGCAGCACTCACCTCCTCACTGCATTCAGCTCTCTGAGCAAATGGCATCTTTTCACAAAGGCCTTTCCTGATTCACCCTCGACAGAAAACAGCAACCCACTGCCAAGCCCTCTCCTCCTTACAGGATCTTTCTCCATATATTGCAGCCCCACCAGACGTATGATGTGTTTGTGTCTACTGCCTGCCGCTGTGCACTAAGGCAGAGGCCTGCATGCTGATTCCACGACTGCAGCCCAGTGCCTGGATGCGTGGTACGGCCAGCAGGTCACCGGGGAAGCACAGCCACTACCTGCTCAGCTCCTGGCCACTGCGGCAGACCTCCTGGATCAGCTGCTGGTTGTGTCTCTCCTTCTCACTGCCTTCCTTCTGCAGCCTTTCATTTTCTTCCTTCACACTGGCATACTCCCGCTGAAGGTGCTCCAGGCTCGCGGTCTTCCTGGAGAGGGACTCTCGTAATTTGTCATTCTCTTTCTGTTTATCTGCAAACACAAAAAGGCGCCACTGAGAAGGGCCACCATTTGTTTATTCCAACCTTATTATATAAATATAGCACTTCAAGAATACAAAAACGAATGAGATTCGATCTGGCATTTATGATTTTGGCATTCCAATTATCTTACACACTTTGGGCAGATAGATTTGTCAACATCAAGACTGCAGATTAAACGTCACTGGGATAAAATGGGCCTGTTTAATTTTCTATTAAAGAACAGGCCATGCAAACCTAGTTACTTTGCCTTCACAGAGCAAACAGCAGGTGGAAAGTATAGAGGAAAATGCAGGACCCAGAACTCTGGGAATGAGTGCTGGCCTGGCCGCAGGCCTTCTACCAGCCTAACACCAGAAGGCCGGCAGGGCTGTGCAGATGGCACCTTGAGGCCCATTCACTCCTCAGGCTGAGGACAGCACCTCTTCTGAGGAATAAAATACACCCAGAGGCACAAGAGACACCATGGTCAAAAGCAGGGGGCTGGAGGCAGAGAGGCCACATTCAAGAGCAGCTTCTCCATTTACTGACTTCATAACCTTGAGTGAGGCTCTTCACTTCTCTATGCCTGTTTCCTTACATGTGTTATTATGTGGATTCACTGAGCTCCCATCTATAAAGGGTTTACCACAGGGAGTCAGGAGCACTCTGGGGGCTGGAAGCTCCATAAAGATGAGTTGCCAGCAGTGCTGGTGGTGGTAACAGCTGACCTGCACCAGCACTACCTGTGCGATGTGACATTAGGGCCTTCACATGCATCGCCCTATTTAATCTCCAGGGCCGACTTCCGAGGCAGGCACTATTATTCTCCATTTTCCAGATAAGAAACTTCCCTAAGGTCACATGGCCAGTAGGTGGCAGAGCCAGAATTCAGACTCAGGTTTTCTGACTCCATTCTTAACCACAACAAGATAATTTCTAAGCAAGTATTCACCTCCTCCCTCGATGGCCAGACACATCATGCTGCCTACCCTTCCTGAACGGCCTAGACTCCTCATCGCTAACCTCTGGGCCTCTGTCTGCTCTCTTCCTTCGATTTAAAATGCCCTGGCTCCTCTCAATCTTCAGCACCTTCGCTAAGCCCTCCTCATCCTCTGTTCTTGAAGGCAAGCTTTTCCCCAGTCAGGATGCCTTCTCCAGGGTCCTGCAGTTCCCAGAGCCTGACTTTATCATGGCTGAGGTTCACGCTGGCCTGCCAAGATTGTCTGGCTGCCTCTCCCATCAGACTATGAGCTCCCTGAGGGAAGGGATGAAATCTCATCCATTTCTGTATCAGAGTCTACATAGCCCTGAAGTAGAACAGGAGATAGGAAATGTTTGCTGAGTGAATGAATGACTGACAGAGGCCCCAATTTCATCTCTTAAGCCAAAAGGAGCATCAATATCCTTTTAGGAAAAGTGGGATAAGCTGGCCCAAGTTCTAGCTCTACCACCTTCTAGCTCTGTGACCACAGGCTGGGCAATTCCCTAGGCCTCAGTTTCTCACCTGTCAAATAGGGCTAATGATACCTCATCCCAGAATTGTTTTTGGTAGTGAAAGATAATGTAAGTGAAAGCTCTTTGGGAGCCAAGCTCAAATAGAAGGAATTAAGAGAAGGGATCTTTATAAGAAGTACGGAATAAACTTTGCTGATAGTAGGAAATCACTAGTTGAGATTTTGGCAGTATTTTATTTCCAGCCCTTCTTTCTTCCACTGTGAACTAGGATGAGAGACACATGGCTAAAGGGGGGATAAGTGACAAGCAAATAAAATAACATTTACTGAGTCCCTACTAGAGACACTGTGCTGAGAGTTTTACACCGTTCAATTGTCACAACAGCCCTATGAGGTATTCCTGAACCTCTCTGATTCCAGTATTCTCAGCTATAAAATAGAAACACCTCACAGGGCTGCTGTGACAATTAAATGGTGTAAAGCCATCACAGAGCCACGGGATTCATACTTAGGGTGGTCAGACTTCAATGTCTGCATTCTTTCCATGACACAGAAGGCTTTGGCGTTCCAGGCTTCCAGTGACTCCTTTAATTCTTACCTCTGGATGCTTTAATGAGCATTGCATTGAGGGCCTGGTTCTGCTTCCTCAAGAAATGAATTTCTGATGTTAGAGAACTATGAAGTTCTGAACCAGAAGCAAAAATGTTTGTAGAACCTATAAAAACACACATAAAGACTGATTTATAAACAGTCTCCAGATCAGTATAGATGGAACTTTCTAGAAAACAGTTTTAAACAAAGAACACAACATACAATGAAAATCCCTTCTGTTAACTATGTAAGGAATTACCAGAGGCCAAAGAGAACTGAGAGTAAGCCTGAAAGAGGGGGCAGGAGGGGCTCCCCCACATCTTACCTAAGGTAGAACAAAGCAGAAGACCTGGGCCAGGAGTAGGGTGAGTGAGTGAGAGTCTTCACCTTCACAGATGTCTTTCCTGAGGTCAAAATTCATATCCAGCTGCCTGCCGGGCCTCACCACTGAGGCAGCTCTGTTACTCAGTCCACAGAGCCAAAGCCGAACTCCTCATCCTTCCAAACCTGCTCTCTCTCACCTGTTTCCTGCCTCAGGAGATGGTATCGCCACATCCCTAACCTAAGCTAGAAAGCTGGAAGTCATCCTAACCCCTCTCTCTTCCACTGCCCAATCAAGCAATCATGATGCTGCTGCTTCCTCCAAAATGCTTCTGACACAGGCCTACTCTTTTCAGTCCTAAAGTTCAGGCCTCGTCACTTTGCTCTCTAACCTCGCCGTCCTGCTATTCTGCCAATGGGGTTATTATCCTAAACAAAGTCCATTTAAGTTACTCTCTACTCAAAAACATCTGATGGCCCACCATGGCAAAAGACAATCGCACAATGAAACACAAGGGCCAATTTCCCAGTCTAGATACCCCTATTTCATAGATAACATTCACATTCACGGCCACCCTCAGGAGCGTGCCTACTGTGTGCAAGGTGCCTTCTCTATGTGGCAAGCAGATGCTTCCCTCCCTGTCCTCCACACTCACTGAGTCCACTTACTATACCAGAGAGCCAAAATGCCAGATTCCTGCTTTCCTAGCCACCCTGCAGTGAGGACATGGTCACGTGCCACCTCTGGCCAATGGGGCCTGACAGGAAGTCTGCTGGGGGCTTCTGGGAAAGATTTTCCACCAGGATGAAAAGAGGACAGGAGGAAGTTCCACCTTCTTCTTTCCCATGCTTTGGACACTGTCTGAACGACTGGGATGCTTGTAACTACAGCAGTCGTCACAGATACTAACCCAAACTGCTGTCACTGAGCCATAAACCTACCTTGGAACTACCTGCCTCTGGGTTTCTTGTTACGTGAAAAAACACAAATCCCTGTTGTTACCATCAGTTACTACTCCCATTCTGTTGTCTGCAGCTGAAAGCATCCTGGCACACAACTGAGTACCTATCCTATTCAAACTCCTTGGAGGGAAGGTACAGCATCAGTTCTCCAAGGAGCTGACAGCCCTTCCACTCTACAGCACTACCTTTTTCTTATGTTAATGATTCACTTACCACAATGTTATCTAATTGTTTTACTTACTGTGTCTCTCCCCAACATCTTCCTCCACTCTCCCCTGTGAACTCTGGTATCTTTTCAGAGACACCTGGGTTTGAACCATGGTTCTGGCTTCTTAATAGCTGCATGACCTCAGGCAAATCGCAACACTTCCCTAAGTCTCCATTAACTCAATAAAAATGATTGATGTTATTGTTACTGCTATTACCATTTATATTACTAAAATAATTAATGATAGACTGGAGCCAAAAATAGCACCAAAAAGTACTGTGAACAAGCAGGAAAAATTCTACAGAAGTCTAAGGTGGTAGCTTTGGAGGCAGTATTTCTTTGCAAAGAAATAATTAGGCCAAAGAACAGTTACTGACCGGCCTAAACCTGAGCTAGCGGGGCCCACTTCTGATGCTAGGAGGTCAGTCTTTCCTCTGAGGGTCATCACTACAGGCCTGTACAAGTGGGGACAAGCTGGAAGCTCTAACACATGAGAGTCTGGTTTTTAACAATATTCCACCTCAATATCGTAAGAAGCCATACCTTTCTCAGGCCTGCTCCCCAAGGTGAACATTTCACAGCAGGGGGAGGCAGAGCCACTTTTATTCCTTTGTCTTTTCAGACGCTGTGACAACATGGTGAGAACAGCACGTCTTTCCACCAATGTAAATACTTTATGAATGCTTTTGTAAACCTTCCCGTCAGAGTGAATTACTCTCCAGAGCAATTGCCTGCTCCACTGTAGCTGGTGGCCATTTGAGCCCCCAAATAATTCTATAATTGGATTTGCCAGGGAAAATGTAAAACAGAATGAATCTAATTCAGGCATTACCAAGAGTGAATGTGAAGGGCCCAGGCGTGTATTTCTTTCCTGTGTTTGATACAACTAATAACTCATATCAATCAATTTCCCTGAGGCTGAGGGGGGTGGATGCAGGAAGTGGGTGCAGTGAGCAAGAGGGAGGGAGGAGGGCCGGAGAGGGCGAGATGAGTCATTCGGTTTCCCGTGAAAGCTGCAGCATGCATGGTACTTTGGAAAGATGTCCCTCCCGGCTGGTAGCTACGATGGCTAGAGAGGAATGAGACCCGGACAAGGGCCCGAGGACTCAGGCGTGCTGCTGCCATGGAGCACTATCTTTCCAGAACTCAATTCTACCACCTCTAAAAATGGGAATGACATTAGGGTCCCTACCCATTGCAGAGCTTTGCAATGTTATACAGAATAAAATAGTAAAATAAAATTGATAGTGATGATAAAGGCAACTGTTTACTGAGTGAGGCACTGAGCAGGGCCCTACTCATAACATTGCCCCATTTAATCTTACAATGACCCTGTTTTATGAAACAATTAAGACTGGGAGAGATGAGTGAATTGCTCAAAGTCACAAAGCTAATAAATGGGACAGCAGGGTCCACACTCTGGCCAGTTCAACCAGACAAACTTGGGCTTTTCTGAGTGCGCCAAGCTGCTTTCAAGATGCAACAGCTTTACGGAATGAGAAACTCTCTCTAGAGCAGTAAGGAACGATGTCCAAGATATACTGCTCCATGACAAATGGACAGAATCATGGATATAGAGTATGTTACCTCTGGGGTGAAGAGAAGAATAAGAATACATGCTGCTATTTGCATTTTAAAAAACACTGTTAAGGATACAGAAGAAAAACAAGGAAAAAAGTGGAGAAGAGGGAAGGGAAAACAGGGTTACTGGATAAAGAATGGAGGTTTTTAATTTTGAAGCACATGAATGTCTTACCTATGTGTCGGGGGGGGGAATATTTTTAAGTTTTTCATGGACGATCATTCTATTCGGAGCTAACTGTGTTTATGCAGGAATATGTGTGATCTTTAGACTGGCATGTGAAATTTACCAGATTGCTAAAATGCAATAATCTGTTATAGATGAAAAGACAATATATTGCTTTGTTTTATCTTGAAATTCCTATCTATTTCTCTCCAGCTTCCAAAGTCAAATGAGGTGCCAGTCACAATTCAGGATACCAGAGGCTGGCAGACTTCTCTAAGATAGAGAAATGAACATTTATCAAGCACCTGCTTTGTACACAGATGCTTACTCAGGCAAATGCGTCACAGTGAAGCACTCATAGACATGTACAGCCCTTTGGGAAGGTCTTTCCTTACCTTGATCAAATTCAGATCCTTGCCGTTCCAACTGTTTCCGTAGCTTATCATTTGTTTTAATAGATTCTTCTAAACGCTTTCTCAAAGTTCGAATTTCCTGTATGTGTTCCATTAGTAAGTCTACAGGAAGGAAGCCATTTTTAATTTAAAGTCTGAAACCCCAACAAATTGAATAATTTATGGATTATGCAGGGATCCTGAAATTCCAAACAGTATTGGATGTATTAAGATAGTGAGCAACTGGCAATTCTTTCCTAGGCATGGGGAGGGTGAGCTATTTCCCACAGCCCACAGACACACTTCTATAATGATTCTCTGCAGTCCTGCATGGGAAGATATTTTACATCACATAGAAAAAATTATATTCCATACAATTTTAATGCTAACTCTAATGTAGCCTTTTATTCTTCTAAATATCAAATATTAATTTAAAATCTTCCTTATGGTGAAACTAACAGATCACTTTCAAGTCTGCTTGAATTGCCCGAGAGTTGATTAAACTACCTTCATAATGAATCCAGATATTTTTGAGACTAATTTTTTGAAAGGAATATGTTACCCGTTTATCATTTACTAATTTAAGACTCAAATAAAGCAAAACAATGCTAGTGAGAATGGTAATAAGAAAAGTGATCTCAAGAGAACATCTTATTAGCATGAGTATAAATGTGTATGTTCTTTTGGGGCTACTTCTATCATTAGCCTTAGAAAAGTTATTTTCCAATGTCTGTTACCAAATAATTCAACTTTTAGAGCTCTATTTAAAGAGACCACCAGAGATGCTGACAAGCATTTGCCAGAATGGAAGAAAAGGTTCATCTCAGCATTGGATGTAACCATAAGAACTGAAGTAACTCCAATTGTTAAATAAAAAACTGTAGAACATTCATGATGATGCAGTATTACATAGCTATTAAAATTGTTATGAAGACTATATATCATAAAAATATTTTAAACTAAATCTTAGATCCAAAATTGATTATTCAACATAATCACAACTTATAGAAAAAAAAAAAACAACAACAACATTCAGTTTCTCCCATATACTCACTCAACAATCAACACAGAAGACTTCTGTGACCAAATGTGAGGGGTTTTTCCCCACAGACTAAGCAAACAGTTCTGCAGCAGACACCAGCCGGGTGTCTTCTAATTCGGTTGGACCTGAAGATAGTGTCAGATCCACAGGTTGAGGGCTCAGTCCCAAGACTGCCCCCCTCCCACAACTTCTGATGCCAATTCCAAGCCCCCAACTGTTTCACCCATGCCTCTGACCAACCGACTAAAAATTCGGTTCCCTCACCCGCCTCCTGGAGTTGGATTAATTTGCTAGACTGGCTCAAAAACTCAGGGAAACATTTGCTTATGTTTACTGGTTCACTATGAAGGATACTGCCAGGAAGACCAAATATATACTTCACAATATCACAGAACTCTACTTAAAAATTTCTACAGACAAGGAAAGACACAAATATGTGAAAGAAGGAAATATATCTAAATATTAATAGCAGTTGCCTTTAGGTGGCAGATTTTAGATTTTTCAAAAATTCTGTATTACATTTTAACATAATACTTAATAATACATAACATTTTAAATTTTCCAAAATAAGCATGTATTTGTTCAGCCTCTGCCACATCTCACTTTAACAAAGAAAGAAGGAGGCACAATTCCAATCCAGGGGTAGGTTTCTAGAGTCAGTGTTTAAAGCATCATCACATTAAGTATCCAAAGGCAAAACTAATGTCTTTAATTTATCAATTAGGGTATACTCAGTATATCTTAGTAATGTTTGTTTTAAAACATTACACTAATGTTATGACCCAGTTTTAATTCCTCCAAAATGACTTTCATTTAAAAGTAGCACAATGTTACAGATCTTTTCCTAATTAAATAGTAATTTTACCATGAATCTGAATGTTTATGAGATGACTTAATTCCCAGACTTTCAGCTATCTCCTGCTAATGCCAGAAGTGTGGCAAGTAATTTGGTGGAATGTCCTAACTCTCGCTGCAGCACAGCACGAAGAACTCTGTCTGCAAAAAGCTACCGGCATCCACAGCACTGCACTTCCACACTCTTTAAACTCCTGGCACCCACGGCACTGTGCCTCCGCGCTCCTTAAACTGCTGGCGCCCACTGCACTGCACCTCCCTGCTCCTTAAACTTCTGGCGCCCACGGCACTGTACCTCCGTGCTTCTTAAACTTCTGGCGCCCATGACCCTGCACCTCTGCCCTCCTTGAACTTCTGGCACCTACGGCACTGTATCTCCGTGCTCCTTAAACTTCTGGCACCCACGGCCCTGTACTTTCCGGCTCCTTAAACTTCTGGCGCCCACGGCACTGCACCTCTGCCCTCCTTAAACTTCTGGCGCCCACTGCACTGCACCTCCGTGCTCCTTAAACTTCTGGCGCCCACAGCACTGTACTTCCCGGCTCCTTAAACTTCTGGCGCCCACGACCCTGCACCTCCGTCCTCCTTAAAATTCTGGCGCCCAGGGCACTGCACCTCTGCGCTCCTTAAACTTCTGGCGCCCACGGCACTGTACTTCCCCGCTCCTTAAACTTCTGGTACCCACTTCACTGCACCTCCGCGCTCCTTAAACTTCTGGCACCCGTGGCACTGTACCTCCCCGCTCCTGCCTTGATGTCCTGCAAATCTTCTTCCAGCATCTAGTCAGGTCGGAGTCACTCAGGAACTTTTCTGTTTGACTGCAACCTTCCTTGCTGGTTTATCCAAGTCACACACTCATGACTGTGAGAAGGGGACATAAATGCTTAGCAGCCATTGAAACATGCCATCTTCCACTGAGTCTATGGCCAGGAGGCAGAATCATTACTCGGGCTTAAGGAAACATTCCCAGTTGAACTGGACACCACTTATTAATTATGCAGCCAAACTGAAGAAAAGGAAACACTATACTAGCCTTTACAAAATGGGAGAAAAATCTCTCACTTAGAATAATGCCCTTTTGACAAATGCTAATTCTTTAAAAACGTAAATCCAATAAGCAACCACCAAAAAAAAGTGTGCATCTCTCACCTAGCAGGTCCAATTTATAGAATCTGTATTAAGAAAAGCCCCCAAATAAGGGAACAGCTTCATGTTCACAGATATCCCCTGCAGCCTTGTTTACAATTGTGAAATCTGGAAATGGCTTAAATGTTCAGCGACAGGGGAACAGAAGGCAAACTGCAATTCAGCCACTCAATGGACTATTCTAAAGCCACTAAAAATGATGTTATGTAACAACATGTCAGAAAGCTTATGATAGAATGGTAAGTGAGAAAAATACGAAATTATCTCTCTACACAATCATAAATATGACAAAAGACAAAAGAAAAACTAGATGCAGAGAGCAAAAGGCTGAAGACACACCAAAAAAGATGATGGTGGGCTTACTGGGATGGCTCCAGGGAGTACTGTCCCACTTCAGGTAACCCACTAAGAGGGCATAATAAGCCCGAGGTCATGGGTCCACAGAGGAATAAGAAATAGAAGAAATGCCTAAAAGGTTCTACATTAGAAACAGAACAAGGTTGGGGTGGTGGACAGGGTGAAGGGTGGAAAAAGAGGAGCAGGCAAGAGGGAGCAGAGGGAACTGCCTAGTGAAAACAATAGGGACCTCAAGAGTTCCAGTTTAAATCATTTGGGTTGCTGCATTGTAAACTCCACTCTCCTTGTGGTTCCTCAATCAAGTCTGCACCAAAGCCTCATGGGAGTGGTCTCTGGGGATTCTCAGAAAGTCACTGAGTTACACGCTGAATGGATACAATACAGAAGGAAGTGGCACTAGGGACAGGGAAACAATTTGTGGTGTGACCTAAATTTGGGAAAGGCAGAATGCAGAGCCAGAAATGACCAAGAAAAACCAAGTACTCAGAAACTCACAAAAACTGCAGAGAGATACTGCCAGCAACCCAAAGAAACTAGGTCTAGATGACGCTGCTGGAGGACCCCAGCTGATACCTCAGTTACGCCACCAATGTGGACTTCACACTCTGGGTATGCCTTCTGTCTTCAAACTGGGCTCCTCTGAGTCCTGAGGGTCCTCAAGAAGCCTCAGAGGCCACCACAGGACGAAGGCACTGTGCTTATCTCTTTCACACACCACATGGGGCCGCTGTGAAAATTTTCATCTGCTAACTCAGTCCATGGTCGGAGGCAGAACAAAGGTGTTATGGACTGAATGCTTGTGTCTCCAAACTTCCTATGTTGAAGCTCTAAGTCCCAATGTAATGGTACTACCAAGTCGGGGCTTTGGGAGATGATAGGATCATGAGGGTAGAGCCCTCACAGTGAGATCAGTGCCCTCATAAAACAGACACCAGCTCTCTCACCTTCCTTCCTCCACGTAAGGATACAACCAGAAAATGGCAGTCTGCAATGTGGAAGAAGGCCCTCACCAGAGCCCACTCATGCTGGCTGTACCCTGATCTTGGACTTCCTAGCCTTCAGAACTGTAAGAAATAAATTTCTGCTGTTTATAAGTCACCCATTCTATGGCATTCTGTTATAACAATCCAACTAGACTAAGACAAAAGGCCTGACCCAATGGGCCATGGGTCACACTAAAGGAAAACAAAGTAGATTCCCACAATCACAAATGTTGTATTTATATAAAAATATCAGAACAGGCGGCTAGATACTCTTGGGCAACTCAAAGGAGAAGAGCCTTTGAACCGACCCTGCCTAAGGATGACTTTGAAAGAAACAATAGGAAATTAACCAAATCTGCACTGACATACAAGTTCAGTGACACACAGCCTGCAGGAAATGGCAAGTCATATATTAAGTCGTCATTTAAAAAATAAAAATGACTTTTCCCCAATTGCCAACCCTTTCAACAACCATAGCTTTCTCCAGTGATAAATGATACCCTGAATGACCAGCATTAGCCCTAATGGGATCTCCTTTCATCAGAGAAATATTCAAATGTCACCACACTCTGCTTACTAAGGTAAGACGGCAAACTATTGTTTTAATCAGGCCATGTTTAAAATGCTTAATGAAGCTTAGCTTACCTTGAGAAAAATTGTTCACCATAACTGAAGTCTTCTCCGTCTCATTATCTTGCTTCTGGTCTTGTGAGAAGGACTTTTCAGACGTTTCATAATCAGAGAGCACATGAGAGGCTGAAGGCTCAGGAGATTCAGGTAGAAGATGTTGGTAGGTTAAGTTGTCTTCCTCAATCCTTAACCATTGAGATTGAAAGATAAATCGTCTCCCATGCTAAAATCCCAAGTCAGGACTATGACTTACGAATACTTACAATTACTTTACCCTTAGTAACTTCCCCATGTTTGCAACTTCAGTCAGACCTTTTATTTCTCTACAGCATTAAGCAATGACATTCTAAAAGCAAGAAAGGCTCGGTGGGCTTGAGTTTGGAGCCAACAAGGGGAAGCAGCGGGTTGTGCCTGTCCCACAGCCTGGTTTACAGGGGAGGGACCCAAGAGGACTTGGGTCAACGGTAGCTGTTTACCAAATAACCTCTCTATACCAAGCATTTGAGATTTTAGTTGGGCCTCACAGAAACCCTTTGAGGTAGGGATTACTATCCTCATTTACAGTAGGGGAACTGGGGCTCATCATAAACTGGCCGACTGTCTCACGGCTTGGTCAGAGGCACAGTTTAGATTTCAACCAGGCCTGCCTGGCTCCAAGGCCCCAGAAGAATGTGACAGCCCAGCCCAAAACCATGAGGTGGCCTATGGATTTAAAAATCTCAAAACTCTCACGGTTTCCAAGCAGGTTTCAATATCATCATTCTAGCAATCATCTGGTTATTAACTTGTATTTCCCAAGGACCACCTAAGCCATGAGAAAAAAAAAAGCTGAATGCTGTGAAAAGGCCACATGAATCTCCATTATAGATAAACTCCTTAACTGATGCTTTTTTTTTTTCTCCCACATTTTCCTATTACTTCTTGTCAGCAGCCACAGTCTCATTATTCATGAGCTAAGACAAGAGCAAAGACTCCAAAGCTGCAATGCATTCATTAACAGGTAAACACCTGATGCAACTTTGCCCAGACAGTGTGATGGATGCACAGGCTTGCTGCTGGCTTGCAGAAGTGCAGCATGGGCCAAGGGCACCCACTTAATTGGCTTAGAAGTGGCCCATGTGAGTGCTAAACTACAGTTGAGAGAGGCAGAACAGAAGGCAAAAAACAAATCTGTCAGAAATGAAAAGGAGTGACACATTGGTTGAGGAGGCTAAAACAGGTTCCATCCCTCAGTCCAACTCCTTCTGCAAGCAACCCCAGCAGTCTTCCTAAATGGCAAATGTGATCATGTCCAGCCCGGCTTACCTTCCTTCGAAGACTCCCTACTTCCTACAGAATAGGGTTTGGACTTTTAACACATTTGAGGACCAGCCCAACAAAACCCAGCCTGCCTCTCCTGCTTTGACCCTCTATGTGCCAGCTACATGCTCAAAGGGACTGTGTCTCCTTTGCCTCAGGCATGGACACTCTCCCGACAGCCCCCAGCCCCTTCAACTCTCACCCTTTAGATCTCAGTTAAGAATGTCCCCACTCTGGGAAGCCTTCCTTGCCCTCTCTAAAAAATGCCAGTGGGATATGACCTATTATTACAAGAATGGAATTGGAGAATTGAACTGGCAGGGATCTCTAACAATATTGCAGTGGGAGAAGAGTCTTTCTTTTAAATTTACAGAAGCCCTGATTAAAATGTCCTCCTGTGAGCTGTGACACCTCTCTGCCTACTCGCTCTAATGATGCAAGTGCCCTTCATGATGCCAATAAAATCTACAAGTCTGCACCCTAGACTGGTCTCTATTTTATTCCCAGAAGCCCAAAGGACCACATCTTTAAAGCAGAGGAAAGCACACAGCAACATTAATAGCACTCAGAATCTTTAACAACTAAATAAAGGAGGGCAAGACCTTGGCATTTTCAGTTGGCCATAGAGACAAACTAAGAAATTACGCAATTCATTTATTCCATGAATATTTTCTGAACTTCAACTACATGCCAGCAACTTGGAGCTGGAGCAGGTAGAGATATTCAAGACATAGGCTTTGCCCTCAAAAGACAATGTGGAATAACAGGAAGAGGACACGCATTGGATGGAGTGTGACAGATTCAAGTTCAAATCCTAGCTCTACCTCGTAATGGCAAGTATGCAACTCTGACCCATGGCTTCCTCATCCTAACATAGTTACTTCAAACTTTATATGGTGAGAACTAGTAAATGTGAAATGCTTACGGCAGCAGCTGACACACACCAATACCTAATGAATACTAGCTAGCTCCTTTCCTCTTCCAAGGAATTCTGGGAATAGAAAGATAAATGTAGAAAGCATTACAATACCATGTGGTAAATGCTGTAATGTAATTATGTCCAAGTGCTACAGCAAGAATCACTGATGCTGGGATGTGGTGGAGAGGGAGGGTACTGGGGTGAACCAGGTTCATTTACATTTGAATGGACTCTGAAGAATGATTTTCAAACTTGAAGAGGAAGAAGGTAGAGTGCACAGACATGGTGTGGGGAACAACACAAAGCCAAATAGGACTAAAACATGGGGTCCATCGGGGAAGGGAAGCGAGGAGAACGCACAGGGGAGAAGAGAACTGGGGTCAGACTGAGAAGGGCCTCAAATGCCAGGCTAAGGAGTCTGGAGTTTATCTTGCTGGTATCTGGGAGCCAACAAATGAATATGTCATCTGGTTCAAATCACCTGATAGAAATGACACAAGTGAATGAAATGAATGAATGAAGGCAACAGAACATATGGCATGAGCTCTTGGTTTTGTATGGCCATTGTCAGTTCCATAGATGTTTATACCTTATTTACAAGAAGCAGGAAACAAACAGAATGGGAAGGAGTCAAAATATTTTAAAAGCTGGCAGGTAAATCAGACCTGAAAAGTCCTGGGAAGTCTTCTTAACAAATGCTACACACTCACCTCTCCATCAGTTCATTCTGGGTGTTCATTTTCACTCCAACTGACTTTCCTGGAAGCAGAAATAACATCAAGAAAGGAGGAGAAAAAAAAAAGTGTTTAAGTGTTCCCTAATAATTTCCTGCTCATACATTTGCAGAAGCACTATTCCACTTGTTTAAATGCTCTATAACAATCCTGGATATTTAAAGTAGGATTACCAAGAGTACAGTTCAGACTATAGACTTCTCCTTTATCACTGCACTGACACTAGTTCTAGGTGACAGCACTGAATCTAAAAAGCAATCACGAGGCATTGCTGGTGCAGGTTCTTTTTCTTTCTCTCAAACTCTGATACTAACAGAATATATGCTCATTACAGAAAATGGGTAACGGAATCAAGAAAAGACCAATATCCTGGCACTCCCATAGCCAAGTTACTGGATTTCCTTCCATTCTTTTTTTCGTGCATTTTGGCATGGAAGATACTATAATACAACATAATTTTTTCACTCAGTACGCTATTATAGCAATTTCTCTTACTAAATTTGCTTCCGAAACATTTTTAATGCCTGCACTAATATTCCATTGTAGGCATGCACTACCACAATTTTGCCAGTTCTCTATTTGACGCTTAGGTCATCTCCAAATTTTCACTTTTATAAACAAATGAAATAAGCATCTTTGTGCATACAGCTTTATCTGCATTTTAATTATTTCCTTAGGAAGGGTCTCAGAAGTAGGATTTAAACTAGGGAAAGGAGTACATGAGTACAGTTGAAAAACCCACTGTCTACAGCAGGGGAAATGATTTTTAAAAATAACAAAAGAAAACAAAATATAGCTCAGAATGTAGCTGGGCAAAAGATGCTCTGCTCTCTTCCTGCATGTCATCATTTGCTGTTTGAAAGGAAGCACATGAGCCCAGATTTCAAAGAGACTAACAACTTTATTTTAAAAATACTTCAGAACCCTGGAAATTGCAGGCTGGGATGAGTTCTTTGAAGAAACTGATGCGTGGCTAAAGAAAAAAACAAACTCTTCTATAGTTGTACTTGAAAAATGAGACTATAATTAAACTGCACCCACACATGCAATTTTCAAAACTATTCCTAAAAGGAAAAGTTCTCAAACACCACAGTATAGAGGAAAAGATCACTGAATCCTTGCACATTTGCTTTAAGTCTAGAAGTTTCCACCTACGAACTCACAAGGCTGGCTGGCATAGCCACCCAGGTTCCCTATCACCCACCAGGCCAGCCACCTGGGCATCAAGAGTCAGTGCAAGATGCTGAGTGGTGGAAAGTCACCTACCACGGCAGGGCACTGTCACCATCAGAAATGAGTCACACAGGCCTGAGTGACCAGGCACCAGGGCCTGAGTATGGCTCTTTAACATCTGCTATCTCCTTCAGGCCCCACAATGATCCTATGAGCACGGTGTTAGTATCTCTGTTTTAAAGCAAAGAAGTGAAAATCCAGGAGGTTTAATGTTTCAACTATCCCTTTGTCCGATCACACTCTCCCTTACTTTACTACATTTTATAGCTAAGCAAGGGAGATGGAGAGATCCTTATAGCTACTTCAGTCACAAACCTATGCCTCTTGGTTACATCCTGGCCAAAAATGGCATGATATTTTGGCTTCTTGAAAGATAGATAGAGGTTGACAGGCCTTCATCAGTGGATGCTCTCAAAGACTCCACATTTCTGTCCTCTACAATCCTCCTCAAGGGGGAAATCCACACCTGACTGAGTCAGATTTCAAGACCTTTCCTGGAAGAACCAGTTTGTAAGACCATCCCTAATGGGCAGGGACAACTGTATGTTAAAAGAACAGCTTAGTCAACATTTTTCATCTCATACCTGCACTGGGCTGCTTACCAACATTTAGCAGATAACACCGACCCTACAGACCCTGAGAATGGACCATCAGTGCCAGCCCAGCCTTCCAAAAAGCTTAGGACTTACTCAGGCACTAGCCAGGCAAACAAAGTAACATGACATTCTGCTTCACATTCTCACTGTTTTGTTTTTGTTTTTTTTTTTGAGATGGAGTCTTGGTCTGTCGCCCAGGCTGGAGTGCAGTGGCATGATCTCGGCTTACTGCAACCTCCGCCTCCTGGGTTCAAGCAATTCTCATGCTTGATCCTCCTGAGGAGCTGGGACTACAGGCACACGCCACCACACCCAGCTAATTTTTTTGTATTTTTAGTAGAGACGGGATTTCACCATGCTGGCCAGGCTCGTCTCAAACTCCTGGTCTCAAGTGACCCACCTGCCTTGGCCTCCCAAAGTGCTAGGATTACAGGCGTGAGCCCCTGAACCTGGCCACATTCACATTGTTCTTTAGTTGTGTATCTTCCTCAGGAACTTCACAGGGTGGCGACCCTTGGTTTGGGGCAGGCTTTAAGCATTCCAGGTCTCCAGATCTTAAACCCATCAAAAACCTCTCCTCCATTCCTAACCAAACCCATGACCACACCAGGAAGTGTCCTGATGCCACCAGCAGCATGAGTTTCCCCTTCAAATAAGAGACCCTTGAGGAGCTTGCAACAACTCAACAACAACTGTATTCCACCCGTTCCCCTATTACTGTAACAGAGTTCTTTAAAATCAAGTGACAAATAGTTACTGTAGGATTCACAGGGAGATCACAACAACTAATGCACTGAATTTCTTGATAAACTGCCCCCACACAGGTAACAGGGTACCATCTGTCTAGCTATTCAAAAGCTTAGGATGCATGTCATGAAAATGCTGCTCCCATCTCTCAGGCAAATCTTGTTGCTACGCCTAAGAGCTGTGTAGTGTGAGGCAATAGGAGGACTTCATCGTTTCAAATAAAAAACATCTAGTTATCCCATCCATAACTGAACAAGCAAGAGAAGACTATTATGCCAGACAAACTTATAACTGGTTGACCCAACTTCAGTTTCCTCTCTGCACTGATCCATTCTGTATAGTGCTACCACTTAAGAAGCCTCTTTTGAAACAGTACTTCCCAGCTCAAAATCCATCAGTCCCACAGAGTGAACTTCAAATCCCACAGCCTGGCATCTCCTACATGACCCAGATGTTTCTTCCTTTCCACCTCTCTGGTAATTGGTAGAAACTAATTCTATTCTATTTTAATATTTACAGTGCTCCTCCCAGGTGCCTATGCCAGACACTGAGGATACAGAAATGAATGAGGAGCTACCCTACCCTCAGTGAGTTCACCTGAGTGGAAAGGGTGGACCCAAAAGACAATTACACTACAGTGCTGTGATAAGGGGCTGCAATGGATGCTGTGGGAAGGCACACAGAGGAGACAAACAGAATCTGGCCTGGACCATCAAGGAACATTTAGGGGAGGTGGCAATGGAGCCATATCTTTGATGGAGGGAAGAACTGCTTTATAAAGGTGGGAAGACACCAAGGGGCTCTGGGGAGGGCAGTTCCAGGGATTCTTAGGAGGAAAAACCCTCCATTTTCTCTGAAAGCCTGGATCACTCTGTTAACCAACATGCATACTCCATTGTTGTCATAGTAAGTCAAAAAGTATCTGAGACAGATCTCAACCAGTTTTGAAGTTTCTTTTGTCAAGGTTATGGACCATGACAAGTGACACTGCCCCAGGAGGTCCTGAGAACATGTGCCCAAGGTGATTGGGTTACAGCTTGGTTTTATATGTTTTAGGGAGACATAAGATATCAATCAATATATGTAAGGTATACACTGGTCTGGTCCAGAAAGGCAGGACAAATCAAAGTGGGTGGCGGGCTTCCAGGTCATAGGTGGATTCAGACATTTATCTGATTGGCACTTGGTTCAGTTATTATCTAAAGACCTGGAATCAATAGAAAGGAGTGTCTGAATTAAGGTAAGCGGTTATGGAGACCAAGGTTTTTCTTATGTGGATGAAGTCCCAGTGGTGGCCACCTCCAGAGGCAAATGTTTTCTACTCAGATCCTTAAAAGGTGCTGGACTCTCAGTCAATCTCTTCGGGATCAGAAAAAGACCTGGAAAGGGAAGGGGTTTCTCTATAGAATGTAAGTGTTCCCTACAAGAGACAGCATTTCAGGGCCATTTCAAAACATGTCAAAGAAATATATTTTGGGATAAAATTCTTTGATTTCTTTCAGAGCCCTGCTATCTGTCATGTGATGCTATAATGGAGTCAGGTTAGAATTTGGTTTCTTATTGCTACAGAGTCTGTTCTGCCAGCCTAAGGATCTCTATTTTAATGTTAATACTGGTCAGTTGTGTGCCAACTCCAAAGGGAGGAGAGTATAATAAGGCATGACTGACCGCCCCCACTTTCCCATCATGTTCTGAACTAGTTTTTCAGGTTTTGGTGGGTTCCCTTAGCTGAGGGAAGGGTCCACTCAGCCAGCTATACGATTTACAATTTTAATTTTGGTTTACATACCTTCCTGAGCTCCCACTATTTGTCAAGCAGGACACCCTTTAAATCAGGAGTGTCTATTGGGTCTGTTGTTTGGCCAGAAATTTAAAAATGAAAGAAATCAGGGTTGTCCAATCTTTTGGCTGCCCTGGGCCACACTGGAAGAAGCACTGTCTTGGACCACACATAAAATACACTCACAACAGCCAATGAGCTTAAAAAGAAAAATCCATAATGTTTTAAGAAAGTTTACAAATCTGCATTGTGCCACATTCAACGCCATTACGGGCTGCATGCAGCCGTGGGCCACGGGTTGGTCAAGCTTAAATAATGTCATTTCATCCTCACAAACATCTCTATAGGACAGGTACTGCTATCCCCCCTACAGGAAATCTGGCCCTTCAAGGGATAAATGACCCATAAAGCTGGGATCTGAACTCTAGTCTGTCTGACTCCAAAGGTCTTGTTCTTTCCAACCCAACACCCTTGTGACAGCCTCTATCACAAACTCAGATGTGAATATCAAGTGCAAGCTATAAACAAACCAGGGGTGGGAGGGGGTGGAAGGAATAAATTTTGCTTCCACTTCAGGTGAACAAAGAAAGTTTCCTGGAGGACAGGCAGAATTTCTCTAAATTTCTCTAAATGGAAAGGCAGTAAAAGTCTTACAGAAAAAAAATAATG